TCTGACCCAGTATGGCCATTCTTATGTTCTTACACAGCACCTGAGTCTCACTAGGGCAATGCTGTAAGCATCTCCTTTTTCCTCAGGAATAACTTGTTAAACATGGTTGAGGAGCACAGTGTATCTAAGAACAGAAGGCACTGGATTAGGGGGTGCGCATAGAAGCCCTTTGCTCTTTATGTTTTCCATACCCTGAGCTGCTCTGGTAACCCATCCACAGTGTACATGGGAGCAACTTTGGAGATTACTTTAGCTTACACCACTTTGCTCACCGCTATCAAAGGGCTACCCTGAGGCAAAGCTTCCTGTTCCTAGCAGCACTGTGCTGCCCCTAAACTTCACAATTCTTCTAGGACATTCTCTTCCTGTTTGGGATTTAAAGCCATTAAACTGAAACAGAGAAGACCAAGTTAGCTTGTGACTCACATGATGCACAATAGATTTTTGCAAACCAAAGTCAGGTGTAAAGTTAGGTTTTATACAAATTCAGCTTGAACATTTGAAAGGGTGTGCAAAGTAAAACACAACCAAGAAAAAGTATAAGCACAACCTCAGAAGAGTGGGTCTCAATCAGGAATTAAACATGCAAAGCCCAGTTCAACTAGCGAAGAGTGAAGTAAGCTAATGGTTTAAAGCTAAAACGCACTTTCCCCTTTAAGAGCGGGAAAGGTTTGTATAGAAGATACAAAAACTTTTTTATTAAGAGTGACGCAAATTATCACCACAAGTCTAGGAAACCTCATTTCTTCATTAAATCTACATGGGTAGAATATTTTTAACTCTCAGGCTTCACAGTACTACACATTTCTATTAAAAGATAAACAGCAAAAATGTCCACCATTCCCCCTCTTCACATACCTCCCTCTAGCTCTACTGCACAATGTAAGGTTTAAAAATCATGAACAAAATATACAGGAAGCTTTATCTTCTATGTAAATTCAGGATATGAAAAATCAACTCTTCTATTTATCTGCTGAGTCCTGGTTCAAGCATCAGCATTTCCCCTGAAATCAATGATGAACAGAGCCCTGCATGGATATAGAATTTGTATCTCTATCAGGATCCATATCAGCAAATATGAGCTATGGATATCTGCATCCACATCCATGGATACCTGGGGATATAAAGCTGATGTCTGCAAATTTGTAGGGCTCTAATGATGGAATCACCCAACAGCAGAGCAGCGAGGGCAGCAAAGTGCATGGGACGTCATCAAGGCATTTCCTGCTCTCTACCTGAGATTTCAACATTCCTGCAGATGGAAAACTCCCCAGCGTTCAAATGCTTCACAATTCAGTGCCTACAAATGAGCCTCCTTTTGTACCACTGGTTAAACACAGCCACAATCTGGTCTTCAAAATAAATCTTCAAATGGTCTTGCTTTTGAATTTGAAAGGAAGGTGCTGTTGTTGTTGGAAACTGACTTCACAGAGAAAGTGGATATAAAATACTTAATTAAAGCTTAACTTACAGAAGAGATTTAGATGTTGGTCTATGATTTTGTCAGCCCATCAGGCTGTCTCAACCATAAAAGTACCCAGTCCTAGCAAGCATAAAATATTTATATTGCGCATATACCAAATGCAAAACATTCTCTGAACACAAGTGATGTGAGAACTGTAGTGAGACTCAGCATTAAAGCTGTCATTTCTACACTGTGCTTAGCCTTTATGATATTTCAGAAAAACAGCAATATTTTAACACAAATAAATGAGTGAAAAGCTTACAATTTTCACTCCTTGGGGCCATGTTTTTAAATGGTATTAAAAGTGAAAAGTTGATAATTCACCCTTTTTGCACCCTCATTATAACCATGCTATGGTACTTAAATTCAAGGTAAGCCAAAGTGGGTAAAAGAGTATAAAACCACTTCTCTGACCAGATGAGAGTGCTTGAAAGCATCAATTAATAGACATAACTGCATTTATTAATATAGCATGTTTGGTAATTAGAGGCCCATTCTAAACTACCATCATCTTATTCTGCTAAATGTTTATTTAGATATCATTAATAGGAATGGATAAATACCAGAATTTATAATCAAAGGTGGCAAGTATAACAGCTACAAGACTAGTGCCTTTTGTTAGATTATTTGAATCGTCTTGTTAAATGGTCACTAACTCAAAAACTGCATTTTTGTTAAAGCCAAGTGCAAGATCCAGTGAAAGCTTTGTTATCTGGCACTCTTGTTAACCAGAAAACTTTGTTAACTTGCTTTGTCCCCAGCCACAATACTGACACATCTTCAGGCGTATAGGCCTGGCTTGGTTTACCACGACTGGCTTAACAATTTTGTGTTTAAGAAGTACTAATCATCTTTAACTCAAAATAGAAATGTGAGACCAACTGCCTCACACTACAAAACTACCAATATTAAAAACTTGAGTTTTACTAATATTGTCCATTGGTTTTTCCTAGGTTGAGGGGACCCTCAGATAACCGGAATTTTTAGATAACCAGAACGCCCTAATCCCCAAGTGTTCCAGATAACACATATTTTACTGTAGTATGTCTGGAAACATAGAATGTCAAGTACAGGCAGTCCCCGGGTTACATACAAGATAGGGACTGTAGGTTTGTTCTTAAGTTGAATTTGTATGTAAGTCGGAACTGGTACATATTGTAGGGGAAACTCTAGCCAAACATTTCTCCAGAGCTCAGTTTTATTCTCCCACACCTCACTTCCCTCAGTCCTTTATTCTCAAGCTGAGGTGTCGGCTGAGAAAAGCCCCTCAGTCCTTTATTCTCAAGCTGAGGTGTCTGCTCAGAAAAGCCGCTCCGCGTCTCCCTGGTCTGCTGGGGGGAAGCAGCTAGTGCGGGGTTGCCTCACCCCGTTTGTAAGTAGGGATCCGATTTAAGTCGGATTCATGTAACTCGGGGACTGCCTGTATATCTAAAGGATGAGACACAACTTTGGAAAGCAGTGACTCAGAGAAGGACTTGGGTCATCATAGATAATTGCCATAGAACAGCGCAATGCTATAGCAAAGGGTTAAGATGACTCCTGGGTGTATAAAAAGAACAGTCCTCAAGGGGAGAGGCTATTCTTGATTAAGTCCTAAGTGGAGTGCAGGATCTGATTCAAGAGGTAAATATAACTGGACCGCTTGGAAATAGTGACCATAATGTAATAAAATTTAACATCTCTGTGGTGGGAAAAACACCTCAGCAGCCCAACACTGTAGCATTTAATTTCAGAAAGGGGAACTATATAAAAATGAGGAGGTTAGTTAAACAGAAATTTGGGCAACAAAATGGCAAATGAAATTTAATGTTGATAAAAGTAAAGTAATAAACATTGGAAAAAAATAATCCCAATCTACAAACAATAGAGTGGGAACTAATTTAGCTACAATTAGTCAACTACATTCATTGTTCCTAGATATATGTGTTTCCATTTAGCCATATTATTGTTGGTGGATTGGGCACAAGCAAACTAGTGACCCAGTTTGCTCTGAATCAGTGACCTGTCCTCCTCAGTATTTATCAATTCCCCAGTTTGTGTGCCATCTCCGCAGGTGGGAAGGAATTTTCCTGCTGGTCAAACTGGAGGTTTTGTACATTTCTCTTCAGCAAGAGCACGTAACTTGGAATATCTGGACATCGCTCATTAATCAACTCTCTGCTATTCCAGGGGCCATGGACATTGGTGGCACCTTGGTCATTCCTATTCTCTTCACGTGGCATATAACTGTTTGGTTTCCTGAGGACTTAAATGCTTGGATGCAACTGGGCTCAGTATAGGAATACCTGGGCAAAGTTTAAAGACATCAGACAGGAGATCAGACTATCTGATTGAATGGATCCCCTTCTGGCCTTAAACACTATGAAATCTATGGATATATTGCAAGGTATATGACACATCCATAAAACCAGTAGCTGAAGTTTGAGCACCACACAGCAAGGCCATCACTCATCTAATCTGCAACACTGAAATCTGCTTGTGGTCTGAAAAGCAAGTACAGGCAGTCCCCGGATTACGTACAAGATAGGGACTGTAGATTTGTTCTTAAGTTGAATTTGTCTATAAGTCGGAACTGGTGCATATTGTAGGGGAAAAATATCCAAACATTTCTCCAGAGCTCAGTTTTGTTCTCCCACACCTCACTTCCCTCAGTCCTTTATTCTCAAGCTGAGGTGTCTGCTCAGAAAAGCCGCTCCGCGTCTCCCTGGTCTGCTGGGGGGAAGCAGCTAGTGCGGGGTTGCCTCACCCCGTTTGTAAGTAGGGATCCGATGTAAGTCGGATCCATGTAACCCGGGGACTGCCTGTACATAAAACAGCACTGTCTTGCTCAAAAGACCTGCTTGCTACATGAATTAAATCTTAACTGACTGATCTACTTAAAGGCCATATTTTTACTGCTTTTTTTTGTAGTTGCATGAGCGTTACTGTTCATTAGTTACCTAACTGGTGATCATGCATGAACCAGAAGGAACACAAGTTGAATTTCTGAGTCCAGCTGCAGCTTGCTGGGATAATTTTTTAAAAAGAGGTTTTCCCACTTATAAACCAAGCACACTGGATAGCTATGTCATTCAGACAGAAACATGGAACATTTGAATGCTATTTTTACAGTAACTGTTCGCACCATTTTAAGGAAAATAATAAATGAATTTCTCACATCATCTCAGACCATGTCTGCACTGGAGCTACAAGGTGCAATTTCCAGCTTAAAGTATATACCCCCATGCTAACTGAATCGCTTCTAAAAGCAGAAGCCTATCCGCAGTGGAATGAGCAGCAGGATGGATCAGTCACCAAGAACGATCCCATGTGAAACGACAGGTAGACACGCCAATGGCAAGTCTCTCTCCTGTGGGTATACTTTTATTTTTATTGCACCAGCTCAGTCACAGCTAGTGCAGGTTTGGCTCCTTGCAACATATCCTCAAACAGCCACAGCATTGTAAGCTAGAGAAAACATATCAAAAGGAAAATGCTACATGGAATAGCCAACCAAACCACTGGAGACAACACAATCAGCCTTCTGCAGACCTACCTGTCCCCACTGTGGCGCTGCTCACTCCAGGTACCATATTGACTGTCAGCCTCTTGCACAAGTGTGTCTGTGTCCTTGGCCTCTGGGGGTTGTCTGGCAAAGCACTGCCTCAGTTGATCCTGCATCATAATATAGTAGAAGTTTAATGTTATTCCTGTACCAATTTAGTTAAACAGTTTGCAGAGTTAATTTATGCCAGTAGCTTTCTCCTCCCCTTTGCTGCCTCTAGCACAGGCAGTGGGGGCCAGGGGTAGGAGCAGGAGCCAGTGCTGGGGGTCACCGGCTTAAAAGCTGGTTCCCCCCAGCACTGTCTCTATGCGGGGGCGAGGTGAGTTAGAGGTACAGCAGGGGACTGAATACAAAAAAGGTCTTCCCCCGCATCTCCATTACATCTTCTTTTGAAATGCAGTAAGATCCACCTGGCTCTTACTACATTTAAAAGGCAGAGCCACAGCAGGGTTAGCTCCTGGGGCCAGGAGCTCTGTGATTCTGCAGTTTCACCCTTTATTGACTAATTGAGCAATTAATGAAAATTCTATTGACTACATGATTAGCTGATTAAAAGGAATTTAACATCCTTATTTCAAATCTGTAAGTCTGAAGCTGAATGAGACTAAATTTATGCACAGAAATAGTTTAACTAGTAAAATGCTTTAAATCTATAAATACACAGAGGCTAGTAAGATTTTTATGAAAGAGAGATTTTATTTTCATGGGTAAATCATTGGGCCTGAAGCAGGAAATGATTATTTTGTTTGATTAACTCACAGATATATGGCTACAAGTTAATGCCTCTTCTATTTAATGTTAGCAAGTAATTTTGGAGGGCATCCTGTAAACATGTAGAAATCTGCTGAGGGAATAAATATAAATTTTGCACTTTGTCCTCACCTGTAGCTTCCTCTACTGGGACACTTTAGCAGTATGGAAGTATTATGGAAGCGCCACAAAATAAACTTCTCTTTCCTGACAAAGCTCATTCCTTCCTTACTTTTGTTTATAATGCCACAGAATCATGCAATGGAACTCCATTTGATCCACCTCCTTGTTTGTGCAGTAGCATCATGATTAGGTCAGTAGGAATGAACATAGCTTAGAAACTGATGTTTGTTAATTACAAAGCCAACAGAGGAAGCCAAAAGCTTGCTGTGTAGGTCCCCACAAGATCCTATTGTTTCTATAGAGTACTTTTTTTTGCAAAATATTCTGAATCCATAGCCTTTTCTCCATATGATTACAACTATTTTAATAGCTTATATTTGGCATCTAATTTACTTGTCAGTGTTCCTTTTAAACACTGGATTGCTATTTTATGAGCTCTTAACTTTTTCATTATAAATCCACAAAAACGTTCAACTCTAATTATCCTCTGAGGGGCAAAAAAAATGAACAGTACATAATATCACACAGCAGTGAATTTTCTTCAGCCTTTATACTCTCATTCCATATGTCATTAAAAACAAACTGTTTGCTTTTGAAGTGTCATTTGTAACTGTGTGAAACAAAGCAATACAGTGTGATGTGAAATGACATTTCCAACTAATCCTCAATAAGTCATCTCAACCCCTTTTTCTCCTTTTCATTTCTTTACCAACTCACTATGTCAGAAGTCATTACACACAGACATTTTACATCTTCATTGTGACATGTCTAATCTCCAAGTGCACTAAAAGAGAATGTCACAGGTGGTTACTTTTCAATTAGAAGTCATGGAAGTAGTAAGGGTAAGGTTTCTGAGTCATATTTGTCATGTATTGTTCCTACAATATTTGATCACAGAAATTAGAAACAAGACATTCAGAGGCAGGCACATATTTTCCTCCCTCTGTCAGTGCAGAAAGTGTCCTAAAATACAGGTGAGCTTTCTCTTGTAAAAGTGAGAGAGGGGAGGGAGCAGGTGCCTTAGCAGGAAAGTGATATAAATGCTCCTTAGGGTGAGAAATTATTCAGCCAGAGGCATAGCAAGAGTGTTATGCACCTGGGCCGGGTAAAGGCAACATTTGCGTCCCTCCAATCATATGTTACTATGTATCTGTTATTTATTTCTAAGTCAGAAAAAAATAAGAACATAAATAAAAAAGAACAAATACTACTAATATTCACTGATACTGGGATCAGTTAGTAAATTGTAACTACATACAAATAAAAATTATAGTTTTTGTGGTTTACATTCTGTTAAATAATTTTTCTCTTTAATTTATTTGTATCCTGTTGTCATTAGGTTTATATCTTTCACATAAAAATATCAAATGCTTAAAAATATTAATTTCATCACTATTTTTCAATTAAGCATTTAAAACTGTTATAATAAACTAGTAACTCGTTGCTTCAATGAATAAAAGGTAAAAAGATTTTGAGCATATCAAATTTATTGTAAGCAATCTATAATGATTCCTAACTGCCTAGTTACTTATCTAGTTAACCTAGTTGTTTTTCATACTATCTCACAGCGATAAACTACATCATAGTTATGAAGGTAAGGACTCATCTAGACTACACTAAAGTGTCGAAAGGGGATATGCAAATTCCACGTATACCTCATTTTTTGAGGAAAAGCAGCTTTTCAAAAAGGGGCGGTTGCTGAAAAAAATGCGTCTTGACTACTTTCACTTTTGAAAGCTCTGCTTTCGAAGTGAGATCAGAAGATGATAAAGGAGAGAAGTCTTTAAGCTGCTCTTCCAAATTTCACACAAGACATTCAACTGAAGCTATAGACGCTAAGATTCAAGGCCAGCCTTGCCTTTGGCAGACTGCATCGCCATGTGTTCACAATCACAACATCTGAACACATATAAGACTTAGTTGAGAAAACCATGTTAATCCCAAGTCTCTGACAATACTGGAAGATGTGGGTGACCTATAGAAAACATCAGCATCTTCTGTGGAAAATCCGCAACAAAACGCAGGGGGAAATAGATTGTCTCAGTAATGTCAACTCCTTTAGAACTGAGGCCCTGATTATCCAGCACCAGCTGAGGTAGAGCGGGCACTGTGTGCACATATCTGATATATTTTAACCAAAACTGCTGCTTTTCCAACTTGCCAAAGGAGAGAGGAAACAGGGAAGCCAAAAGGAATGGTTTAGAGCAGTGTTTCTTAATCCTTTTTATGAAGTACCCCTTTTAAAAAAAATTATAAGCACCCAATCCTCTTCAGCCATCCAGTTCCCCAGAAAAAGGAACAAATTAATTTTATGTTGTGGTTGTTGAAATATCCAGCATGACAATTTTCCCTGCAGGTTAGCACAATGTAGTAAGATGAGGGCATAAGATAAGATATAAGGACGGGCCTGGTCTGAGGCCTGAGACCTAGCTAACAGTGAACCTAACATGGCTAAAGGAAAGTTAAAATAAGCAGGAAACAACCTTGTTTGTTTAACTAGGCATAAAACAAGCTGAGGCAGCATAACCCCAGGTGGAAAGCAGTAATTGGGGTCTTATTGTGAGTTATAGGTACATAACTCACTGAAAGGGACCTCAAAGTCTGCATCTCAGTTCAGGAAAAGGGTCTAAGATAACAACTTGATGAATGTTCACTTCCCACGGATACTAACTTTGGTTCAGGAAAAGGTTGATGTTGATACATGATGGAGATGGTCTAATCCCGTGGTCCCCAACCCCGGTGCCTGCGGGCGCCATGGCGCCCGCTGGGCCATTTACATGTGCCCGTGGAGCAATCTGGGCTAGCCCCGCTCCAGGGAGTGCGGCAACTGCCAGCCCCGGGCACATGGCCGGCCCCGGCCCCAGGTGTGC